GTAATTTCACGGAATCGAGTAAATGAGAACGTCTCTGTTGTAATTCATGATGAGACTATTGATCGCGTTCGGGAGATTAAATATCTTGGCGTGATTATTGATGACAAACTTAAGTTCAACTCTCACATTGACAATGTCATCAAGAAAATTGCCAAGAAGTATGGAATTCTATGTCGATTGAAAAACGATTTAACTATTGCCAGTAAAATACAGCTATACAAATCAATCATCTCTCCTCATCTAGACTTTTGCCCATCCATTTTATTTCTGGCCAATGAAACACAAATATCGAGATTACAGTGCTTGCAGAACAAAATAATGCGCTTGATATTGAGATGTAATAGATTCACTTCCTCAACTTTGATGCTAGATGCCTTACAATGGTTGTCGGTGAAGCAAAGAATTGTATAATTGACTATGGTGCAGTGTTGGAAAAATATCAAAAAATCAAATCTCAACAAAGAACAAGATCATGCTTGATTTCTTTAGACAAAAATCAACAAACAAACAATGGATCACATCATTCGAGCAATTTAAAATGACGTTTCCTACCACTCGAACTTTAACGTGGAATAATATTTTAATATTTTTTCTTCTACAACCTCGAGAAAATAGGGTCTTATTTGTAAAATGCTTGAAAATTCTGGAATTGATTGTTTCATTTCCGTAAAATTTCTGGTAGAAGGTCGTCCCAAAACTGCTCGACAATATGATTAATTGCGGTTGATTTTGCAAGTTGTGATATTGCAGCTAGGAATATCAAGCTTACAAACTCACCAGCTGCAAATCTCACAAAACTGTGGTGAGATTGGATTACATGATTTTGGCTTTACACACGAACGCAACCGAAACTTCCATAACGGCTGGCAGCAGTCACTGCGTGTCTGCCATCGGTGAAGAGAAAAAAGAGATAGCATTGTTCTACCTTCTCTTTCTAAGAAAACAAGGTGCGACGGAATCATTTTTGCGTCGATTCAACTCACAGCGTTGTGAATAGTCTCGCAATTTTAAAGGAGCTTGTAAAATCAATTTCAAGCATGATATTTTGCTTGAGTGCGTATGAGAGCGGAAAAATATCAATTTTTTAATGATTATGCCATAACTGCTATGGTGTTCATTTTTAAAGTAGTTAGCGGTTTACTGCCTCGATATTTGTGTGTTCGAATTGAAAGAGGAAGTGACTTTTATAGATACTATATTAGAAACGCGATTGAAATAAGAACACCACATTTTTTGACTTGTGCTTCACAAAATTCATTACATTTTAAAGGAATAGGGGAAATGACGGCTTCGGCATGACAGACTATTTTCGGCAACCCAAATTGAAACACTATTTTCACTGGATTTTCTTACGAAAACACTTCGCTGAATGCATGCAAACGATTCTTTATGCTTTCAGCTTCAATTTGACTATATTTTTACCACTGAGAAAAAGCAATCTAGCAAGGTTTTCTTGAAATGAAACACACGCACTACAAATTGTAGCTGATTTTGAGTTGCCGATAATAGAACAGCAGATTTACATGCAGTTCAAATGGAACGGTTGCCGAAGAAAAACTGGTTGCCGACAATACTCGCTCTCACTAGAGAAGATTGGAGCTTTGTAAAAGCGTTTCAAAACAGTTTTTGACAATTCTTTCGACTGAAATTGTTAGAGCAGCTGGCAGCAATAGATTGTAAACAAACCAATACTGCATATGTGTGCGTTCCTTAGAGAAAAAGGCTATAGAAAGAAGGTCGCTGCTTAGGTTGCCGAGAATACGTAAATTCCCCTATATGTTTTCATTTCGATGCCTAGCATATCAAACGAGGATCTCCCTTAGCTCAGCCGTTAAAGGCGCAGCTAATAAGAAAGACCATGCTGGAGGTGGCTGGGTTCAATTCCCGGTCCGGTCTAGGAATTTTTCTGGTTGGAAAATTTCTCGGCTTCCATGGGCACAATACTTAAAAGATTCCAAATCGGATCCTGACTAACCTCTCAAAATTTAAACCCATTTGGTGAGAAACTGAGATGGCACAAACCATTTGAAGTTTGTATGGGAATTACTATGGTAAAACCAAGATTTTTGTTAATGTCTATCTAATAATTCACCATATCGGTCTGCTTGAAAATTGTACTTGTAGGAAATTTTCCCAGCTACAACTTTGCTCAAAACCACTTTTTGATTAAATGCAAGGATCGAAAGTTATCAATGGTTCAATGCGCTGATGTCTTATGATCATGCTCAATCAACTGATCAGCAGGCAACATTGGTGTTTCTGGGGCGTTGAAAAGGACTCAAAAATCATGGCTACTATGTCACACTCCAAAATACAGTGTTGCCTACAGAGCAGCTGCTTGATCATGTCATAAGTTTGCAATCTCTTAAATAATTAATAACTTCTTTCTGTCTCGTTTTACATAGAAACGATTTTCAGCAAAGTTGTAGCCGAGAAAATTTTCTATAAGAATTGCTATCGAACTGTTTCGCAGCTCAATATGGAAAAAGACTAGAAGGCAAGGAACAAAAAGTTGAGATTTCCCATAGCAATTTACATGCAAACTTCAAATGGTTTGTGCGAAGTCTGTTTCTAACCAAATGAGTTGTAACTTTTGGAGGCTAATCAGGACCCGATTTGAAACCATTTAAGCACTGTGGAGCGAAAAAGTCAAATTTTGCATCAGTCTAGTGGGCATAGAAGTATGATTGGACTTTCAACAATTATACCAATACAAAAATGGTACAGGCATCGAAAGCTCTCAATTAATAACTGTGGAAGTGCATCTAGAAATACGAAGAAGAAGAAGACATATCAAACGTTCAGCAACACTTACAGAATTTAAAAGAAACTGCATTTCACACATTAAAACTGTCTTTTGAACAGTTATCCAGTGATTTTTTTATGAATTGACAAATTATGTGTCTTGACAAAGTTATCTCTAACGGATTATTTTGTATTGATAGCTGTCATAATGACTTTTTTAATAATTAATGTAGCACTGAAAAAACTATTTTTGTCATATCATGGTGATGATGGGTTTTTAATATTTTATTTTATAGTAGTAGATTTAAAAAAATAAGTAGTCTACAAAGGTTTGAGCCTCGCGCGCGTATTACGGATATAGAGGACTGAATTTAAAATTTGATAAAAAAATGCAATGTTGAAGCTTATTTGGAAGATACCTTGAGTTAGTAGTAAGTTTTCTGGCAAATGTCGGGGGTGACAGGATTAATAGGATGCTTTGTTGATTGTTCAGTAACTCTTAATCGCTTGTAATACTTATGAATATTTTAGGTGGACAAACAGGCAAACTAAGAGGTGGATGCCTGAGGTTTTCCACATTTATATCGCTGTGAAGCTACTGTAAACTTTAGAGGGAATTTATATTTGTAACTGTGACCCCTTTGATTTTGATTGCTTACCTGGTTAAAATGTCAAATTTAATTATCTTAAAGATAAATCGTCTTGCTCAAACCTTTGTAGGTGTAAGAGGTGGGATCATCATCATCATCATCATCATCATCATCATCATCATCATCATCATCATCATCATCATCATCATCATCATCATCATCATCATCATCGGCAACTCTAAATCAGCCATATTTTGTAGTGCGTATATTACATTTCAAGAAAAATCTGGCATAACCGGTTTGTTCAGTCGTAAAAATTTAATCAGATTGAAGCTGAACACGCTAACTTGAAAGCACCCATTAATGGGTAAAAAGACACATTTTAAAGAAAAGTAGCTTAACTCATTGATGAGTAAATTTTTTACCTATTAATGAGTATCTGTTACCCATGAATTTTACTCATTTACTCATCAATGAGAATAGCCACTTTTCTTAAAAATGGGTCTTTCTTTACCCATTAATGGGTGCTTACAAGTTAGCGTGAAAGGCTTAGGAATCATTTAAATTCATTCAGCGATTGTTTTGGAGGGAAAATAGAGTACGCTTTTTTAACAATATATATAAAAAAAATACCAATTGTATGATTTTTGTCAATTTTTAAGTGTCCCTAATTTTAAACATTTAAAAAATTTAAATTTTTCATTAGCATTTTTTTAAAACAAAATTTCACAAATCGAACATAGAAATTTTAAGATATTAGGCTTTCAATTTAATTTTTTTATTTTTACCTGAAATTACTCTAAAACGGTATTTGTTTGTGATCAACGTCCCCCCGTTTTAGAGTAATTTCAAGTAAAAATAAAAAAAAAAAAACAAAATAACTTATACTAGCAAATGTTTTTCTAATGTACGAATTAAGTTATTTTTTTAGAATTAATATAAGATGAAAATTTCAATTCTGGGGTGAAGTTTATCATGCAGGTGTTTATGCAATGCAATAGAAGTTACCATTTATACTTAGATTTGTTCTGTGCTAAAATTTCAACTAAATATTTTTTCGAAAAATAGTTTAAAATTGGCCTAAATGTAGGCAATGAACATCAGCAATTCACATAACATAATTTGTATTATATTAAATCGTTTATTTTAACGAAGTCTGATTCCGGATTCGGATTCAGCGACCGACAGTTTAGTAAAATAAATAATTCGAGTTACACAGCACCAGCATAAATGCAGATTATGATTGGATTTGAGGAACAAAAAAAAGTTGTATATTTTATCACTTCTACAAAATTGTACATTTAGAGCGGTAGAATGCATCGTTTGTTTGGGAAAACGTTTCAAAAGTATTGCTTAAAACTTTATCTTATAATAAATAAGTAATTAGCACTAGCTTTTACGAAACAGAAACAGTTGAAATATTTGTTGTAGAAAGAAACTACTTTCAGTGGGTAACGCATCGAGCCATCTACTGCAAACAGCTTATTGCTATCTACGCACAATCGGGTTTCGGCGTGTGAGTGCCTCAGTACTTCGGAAATTTTTTGGCACTCACGTGTCCGTGAGCTTTCTCATAGCTTATATCTTTGATTCGGGATATGAAAAGAGTGGACTTGTCGGATTGTGAAGCTGGATACTGCACGTCAGTACATTGATAAGATTGCTCCTCGTCTGACTCGTTTTGTTGGGAGAGCACATTTGCTGCTATCAGAAACAATACTTTATTGTGTTGCATTTATTGTTAATGAGTGTGTTTTGTGCACATCTAAATTGTTGCATTCTGTCTGCTGCTGGATACTTTCCGTTTCGCTTCGGTGCACACGAAAGGATATATGTGATAGCCGCTGTTATCTATTTCAGTGATGGAAAATAATTGCACTTGCACGCTATTTTGCGCCAACTAATCTAGTGATACATCAATCTGAGGCTTTGGATCTTTGCGTGAACCTCTGTGGTGTTAATGAGATTTTACTGATTGTGATCTGTTCGCTAGTGCATATACAGAAGAAAAAGGATATAAACAAGGAAGAGTGACCCGGAAAAGTTTAAATTGCTTCTAGTGAGTGGATAATAAAGTTATACTCGACGGGTGTTGAACAATCCGAATTAAACACTGGAAAGCAAACTTGTTCATACAATAATGGTGGGTGGGAGCCATTCTCTATGAATGGAATGTACAAAGCTAAATACGAGGCGTTAATTTTCTTCTGTGGTTTCACGTGAATGGAAAACTTTTAGTGGAGAATAACATTCGATACCGTTTTAACCATCGACGAATAGCTAGGTAATACGTTAAAGTGATCTACGACGATACATGACTGTGATTTTTCGACTTTGTGAACCATAGGGAGTTTCTTTGGAAGAAATCACGTGAATGCCTGGCTATATATGATTATATTGGATATTTGTAAAGGTTTGTGACTTCAAGTTGAACAGGGTAACAAATTACTAAAACAATTTTTCCGGAGAATTAATAAACTCTTTTCACTATTACGTTTCATCAGGTTCACGTCTCTTTGTGTTATGATTCATGCGCAGAATTGAAAATTGGTTCCACGATTACTAGCTAATTTTGGAATTCATAACAACATAATTAAACAAAATTACCCATCATATTTAGGAATGCTTTTATTGTATTCGATACATTTCAAATAAACATGTATGAAATGTTAGTAAACATTCAAACAATCAGTCTAAGGGTATGTGATGTATGGTTTCTTTTCTGTCTAATTAAAAGCGAATATTTTCTTTAGTAAAAAGTTTCACAAAAGTTACGAAACTAAATTGACTGAAAAAAAAATTATTCTGGTGAAATAAAATATCGATAATCCACGAAACTAGTAAAATAAAATATTTATATTACACGGGATTAAGAAAAAATATTCTACAGTTTTGTGTATATTCTATACTTACACCCAACCGGGGGATGTAAGATTCAATTACAATTATGTGGGATTCATCATCAGAGAATGTTAGAGGAGACCGCATGAACCGAGGATGCGATATACCTAGCTACGGTCTAATGCAAGAAAATTGGAGACCGAAAAATGTAGAGTGTATTAGTGAGGTAAATTAGTTATGTCGAAAAAAAAATAGGAATCAGATTGCCGACTGGGACTGGACTGAACCACGAACGTTGCGATTATCAGACCTGTGCTTTCTTCACTGCTCTCTCCATGCTTCTGGATAGCCTAAAAGCAAACATGAAGCGCTCATTTTTACGCATACTCGGCTTCGTATGCTTTTTCTGCTGGAGAGATTCGAGGCAAGTGTGTGCGTCGTTCTACAAGCTTACTGGTATAGTCGAAAGCGTAGATAGAACACGAAATAAAAAAAGACAAAAAACCATTACATCGGCTGCATGGTCAATTTCTAACATTCGTTGCGATGTTCATGAACAGAGGATGATAGGAAACGGAACGAATCATTGTTATAGATTTTTGGTTTGCCTGTATGAGTTTTGTATACAGCTTTTATCGTTGATTAAAACATTACCAATAATTTTTGAAAATAAAGAGATATTTTATTCTTTATAATGTACATATTACACGGTGTATTTGTTAATATTCAATTTAAACGAAGAAAAACGTCATTATGGAAATCTTCAAAACTATTTACAAAAGAGTTGAATAAAGGTGCGGTCTTCGGCAAAGTAATTTTTAATTATTTTTGTAATAATAATCTCAAGTTTGTGCGATAATGAGAAATGTGTGAATTTTCGACTAGCAAGTAAATATTTTCTATCTGTTTACCATCATTTTTTCCACACTAGAGCAGTCCCACGCCAAATGACGAATCGATCAGACTCAACTTTCTTCGATTAACATGAAACTTTGTTGTAATTGTAATAATTGTTTGTTATGGGCAATTATACAAATTTTAGCTTAAACTCGGCAATGCGGTTAGCAGCGTCACCCGTCGTTCAGGCGTACTTTGAGTGCCACGATGTGAGGGTTCGATTCCCGCTCCAGCCAGTGAACCTATTCGCAACCCGAAAATTTCCCTACTGGTCTATTGGGTGTTGTGTGTGGTCCGTTGTCTAGTGTTAAGTGTTCAGTTTGTGCAACCTCTGGCTAAAGTTTTTAAGTATAGTACATTAATTTTGCGTAAAAATTCTAAAAATGCGTTAAAAACTTAAAACTTCAAAATTTTCTTGAGCAATTTTTATAACTTTTATATATAAAAAAAAAACTGAATTCAAACTTTTGCAGTGGAAAACCTTGGACACTTGAAAATAGAGAAAAGTCGTCGATCAACAACTTTTGGTTTAATTTTTTAACTTTTTTAGTACCCTTTTGTATGTAGTTTTTGCACAGAAAACGATTTACAAAGTCTGTGTCAAAATGAGAGTACTAATAAAAAGATGAAAAAAAAAAAAATGATAAAAATTGTTATTCTATGATTTTCGTCAATTTTTAAGTACCCAAGGCATTTGAGCTTTTTATTTAAATATAAATATTGAACGAGGGCATTTTGCAATTTTAAAGTTTTTCACATAATTTTTGTTTTTTCGTGTATATTTGTCCTAAAAAGATTTTATTTTTCTCTACAACTCTGTCTCACTCGTCACTTCGTTCAGAAGTGACGTTTTCGTGCTACAATTTAATGAAAATTGTACAATACAAGATCCTAAATGACCGAATTATTGCAAAAATGTGCCCATAGCAAACTGTTATGCAAAGTTTCATGCAGATCGGAAAAGGTCGAAACTCAATTTTTTTTTACTACTTGGCCTGGAACTGCCCACTAACTTTTAAATTCTGGCGCCATTTCAGAACACAACCAAATCATTTAAAGCTTGGCTCAAAACAAAAGAAGAGAGACGAAGCTTGCATATTTTACCCACCCAATTGTGCAACAACAAACTGTCAAGAAAAGTAACAATGCACAGTGATGTACTGTGCACTGCATATTTGATACCTCACAGCAAAAAATATTTTTGATATCACATCAAAGTGGATGCACTTCAATCGTGTCGAAAATATGGTGTAATATTACTTGCCAAAAAGGACAAAATTATCATTAATACAGTGCATGAACTGACATTACGCTGCTTTTACTGCATTTGTTTATTGTTGTGGCCATAAAAATTACATGAGATTTTCGACATGATTGGTGCGCATCCTCTTGGATGTAATATTATTTATTTTTTATGATGTGCTGGTATGTGACATATGAAATGCATTTCAGTTAGCGAGGTATTTAGATAGGTTAGAAGCTAACTTGAATTGAAGTTGAAGGCAGGTCTAGAGGTCTACAACTATAAGAACCAAACACTTCTAACATACCACAACTATAGGAGCGTTTACCCTAAGAGCATGTGCAGAATTAAATTTTCAATAGCGGCTTGCTGTTTTTGCATTTATAATATATAATAGGTATAAGTAATAATTAGGAACCTTATAAACCAAGAGGAAGAAGAATATCCTTTGACAACGTATACCCCTTGCCGTTAAAGGGGTACCGTTCATGATCATTTCTCCATCATATTATATTTCTATTGCAACAGGCAAACCAGCTCATAACAAGACCTTTAATGATAGAAAGTTGTAATGAGTTACTGCTAATACTAAGCTATACATATTGGACTCATTAAGGCCAATCATCCTGGGGGAACGTTTTATATGGATCAGGCTTGTTTGATAATGTTTAAACTTCAATGGATGCTTTGGTTGGCTAAAATTTATTAATTTGCATTCTTGTGCATCGAAAACGAAAGGAAAGGCTAAAAACGAATTAAGGCCGCATGTTTTCTCTATCGTTCTATCAATATTGGCCTTTTTGGGAAGGAATCTTATTGATGTACTCACATTTTCGGTAGCCTTCTGGCAAAATGATGTTTTCAATCTAACAAAAATGATATACAATTTCCATTAAATGTCGATTAAAATAATCTAGAAAATATACATTGTTTCTCTAAAAGACAAAAGCATTAAAAGTTCAAGAATACGATGATTGAAGAAGTTTGTGCGACGTATTTGTAAATTTGATCGTATTTTCTTGTCATCGATGAATCACGTCATAGTAGGTATGTGATGGATTTTGTGTCACAGGGGACGTAAGAGCAATGCAATTGAGTTATACGCTTACTTTGACATCAACATGTTTTCCCTTTCATATGTACATACCTGCAAGGGCGTAGCCAGGTTTCGATCTAGGGAGGGGCGAAAAAAAAATTAATATGGAAAATATGGCCGAATACCATTTCACCGAAAGCCTTGGTGTTGCTGAGTTTAAGGGGGAGGGGGAGTCAGCCATGGCTACGCCTATGTATACCTGGATTTCAAATAAACTTCAATGCAGTTTTTATTCAGAAAAAGAGATTGTTATACAGTATTTGCTAGATCTGTACATAAATGGAGAAATCTATACGTATTCCAAAGATACTCGCACCGGGAAGAGCGAGAAAAGATATAGAAAAATTCCTTACGGCAGTGAAATCTATCATCGATATGACTGAAGTTCGCTCGAGGGCTACGTAGTTGTGGACCCGGGGTATTTGTGTTTGCTTTATTGAAACGAAAATTTCTACGAGCTTCCAAGCCGTAAGACAAACACGGGAAAATGGAAAAGTTTGTTGAAAGAAATTTTAGTGACGAAGAAGAACAATCGTGATAAGAAAGTGAAAAGACGCAGCTGCGGAATGACTTTCTGTGAGGACTAGAAAAGGACTGCTATGGTTCAACTGGCCTGCTTTGATTTTCTACACTGCATATAGCAGTAAAGCAATTCCAATCGCTGGCTGGGATGGGATGGAGCAATTGTGGTTGGTGGGCATGGGAAAAAAGCAAACTTTGTCGTCTGCGTTGCGTGACGAATGAACTGTGATTTGGATTTTTGCCGTGACATTTTGTTGAATAAGTGGCAATTAAAATGTGACGGCGAAAAAATAAATTAAATCATCGCACTTTTAATTTTATGATCTTATATATTAGTGTTGCACGACAGTGTTTTCTTCCGAGACATAAAGCCTTTGAAATTTTGTTATGATTATTAGTCATTAATTTTCATTGCATATCTGTATACCTGTTGTTCTCAGCAATGCACCGAAATCCAGACACTTAGTCCACAAATCTGAACAGTTTTAAAAATGGATTATCAATGCCTATCAGCTTATTACTCATACCGTGAACCCCGGTAGTCTGACTGTTCTAATTCTGAACACTTCTTAGTTTAAGCTGTCTGCACGCCGTGCAAACTAAAAAAACTGCTTAAAAGTCATTTAGCACATGACTCCATTCCAATGAAATGGAACGATGCGAAACTTTACTGAAGATCATAGTA